GAAAATAGTCAACAGTGACTTTTGAAAAAGACTTTTGAACTTTTGAAAAGTATTGTTCGTCGGGAACATCCGCGTAGTTCGGTAGTGATCGTTGTACGAAAGAACATTTAAAAAGTACGTGTGTGCCCGACCAAAGATGCTGCTAGTATTACTTTCAGTAAAACATTTGCGTGAGCAACTAGAAGAACGCGATGAAGATTGCAGTGGGTCCAAGAAGATCCTCCAAGAACGACTAAAGAATGTTCTTAATAAGAATGGAGATGACCCAGAGACATTCCAGTTTCAATCAGCAGAAGAAACAGTTTTAACAATAATGAATGAGAAATTTAAAATGTCTCGGAAATGATTGAAGAGACTTGAAGAGACTAAAAAAATTTAAGAATCTTCTAGAAAAAAGATGATAAATTCGAGAATGTATCTATAAGTTTCGACGAGACTACAAAAATTCTTAAAGATGTAGCTAGACAAAACGACGGGAAACACGAAAAGGTTTCAAGAAGATTCGACGAAGTATGTACTCAGAACGATGAGAAATTTGAAGAAGTCTCTAAAACATTCGATCAGATACAGAAAAATGTAAACAACGTAAAAGAGAAGATCAAACAATTAGAGACCATGATAACTAACACGAAAGTGCTACCACCAATTAATACGGTAGCTTTAGATCCGGTAGTGAAAGAAGAATCACCTAGAGACGAAATGACACATCATATGAGATTCAAATTGCCACCATTTGATGGAAAGTCCTCTTGGTCCATACACCTTAGACAATAATGATTTAAAACAAAGATAACAAGATAAACTAAATAATTTTTAGAGAATTATAGTAATAATTTGCTTTTAAAAATTTATTTAGAGTTGTAAACATCTACAGAACGAAGTGATAATAAATAGGTACAGTATGTTCCAAGGAGTTGCCATTATATATTTTAATAAATCAATAATATTTTAAATAAATAATTTTAATAAATTTAAATATATTAATAAATAAAGTTTAGACAGGTAGACTGTATTCTTAGAACAATCAAATAATATATGATCTAAATCACTTTCATCTCCACAATGATCACATTTGTCATCATCCAAAACCTGTATTTTAAATAAGTGTTTTTGATAACATGTTGTCAGAATCGTATACTATTAATGGAAATTATGTGCCTTATGGAAGCTCTACAAGACTTGTAGCAAGGAAGTTTGGGTATATCTGGCTCAATTAACGAGTACCCATTTTGGTTCACAAAAGAGTATTGCTTTCACTGGTACCTCCACTCTCGAAGCAATGTTGACTTGCAAAATATACTACTATCAGAAAGCGTTACTTTATGTGGAATACCAGTATCGGTTGAAATGCTTTCTATGGCTAATAAGTCAACATAGTTATTATGTTCAAATCATGCATGTGCTTTAATCCAGAGAAAATATACATACATTGATTCCTTTGGTCAAAAGAGTTTGATTAATATGTTTAATTCTATAAATGTATGGGCAGTCTTGTAAGTTTGGTGGTCCATATTTACCAATACATTTTAACACTGCTAAGGAGTCAGAAAAAATTATAATATTGGCAAAATCAACTTTAGCTACATATAATAAAGCTTCATATATTTCAATAGCCTCTGCTGTATAAACCGAAGTCTTCGGGTTTAGTTTGAATTTCTTTTCTATATGGTATAAATGATGGTATAAAAAAAACTCAGCCGGTTTCATCTGGAGATTTAGACGCATCTGTATATAAAGCTATTGCCTCTTTGTAATTGCTCGTTATAAGTAGAACAATATTTTTATTTAAATATATATTTTCACTATAATTTGGTAGATTTACCATAATATCTGTATGTAAAGAAGAGATCTTACAGAATAAGAATTGGTTTAGGAGTTAGAAAATTTATCTGATGTGAATGCAGTAGACTACTCATATGCAGATCCGATTAATGTAAGGATAAATTAACTGTATCTGATGTCAAGGACATCAGATACAGTTAATTCATACCGATATTATACACCAGACCAAGTGGGAGCCTGTGGCAGGGGACAGAATACTTAATAAATGGGTTAACACTGTTGCGTTCTACACATATGATGACCTTTATATTAGATACAAAGTTATCAGAAAGGGAGAAGATTCCCACCCTCGTATCTTTTGAACGGTTTTACTTATAATAGTGAAATTTGGAGGGAGGTAATAAACAGACGTCCGTTTCTTAAATATTCGTAACACACACAATGTAAGGTACTGGAGTGACAGAAATCCTCACGTCTTGGGTAAAACACTTACTCAATTTCCAAAAAAAAATGTTTGGGCAGGTATTTTGGGAAACCACATAGTTGAGCCTGTTTTTCTCAATACTAACTTAACCGGTGAAGTGTATCTGAAGATGTTACAAAATGTAATTGAGCCGTTAATACTTGAAATTCTGGAGGATAATCCAGATGTAATCGGCAACTTTAAAATAACGTTTCAACAAGATGGTGCTTCTGCACACGCCATTTATGACTCCTCCTATTATGACTAGTTGAGAAGCCTACATCTGTTTATTACCTTTCTCCAAATTTCACTATTATAAAAAGAATAAAGTCTGTGCTGAATAGGAATAAAATGTTTCCTGCATTTTTTTCACAACTTTTTTAGTTGCAGTATACTCAAGTTTCAGTTATAAAAAACTTTTTGGATTCATTTTTACAAAAATCTAAGCTTCAACTCACAACAACCTACTGTATACGTCTTTCGACTTGACTGTTAGTATGTTTTATATTTTAATAGGACGCTTATATTAAATTACCTTTACTTTAATTAAATAAAGCACATTTTAGGACCAAAGAACATCACTTTTCTTTAAAGTTCATTTCAAAATTCTTTATAAAGCATATTTTTAATGATAAAATCACAACATCGCTTTTATACCAAAGTTGACGAAAAGATCTGCCTTAAAGATAATTTTTCAAGAAAAAATTACCTTTGAGAATACGTTATCTGTTACAAATGCTGTGTATTCTGCCGTAAAATATAAAAAATAAGGCATGTTAAAATCACGCCGAAGTCAGTATACAGTTTTCTTAACATTTAGGGGCACAAAAATGTAAAAATTATAACTCCCAAAAGTCTGATGGGGGAAAAATTATTTTCTATAAATGAAGACCTGCCCGAAAAACGTTGCAACCAAAAAAATAAAATTTGCCAGAAAGTGGCAAAAAACTATTTTGACAATATTATCTATTAAATTTTGTGAATTTGAGTATTTCTTGTGTGTATTATTAGTAAGGTAAAATAATGTTGAATATTAATAACACAAAACAAAAGATTAATAAGCGCGGAAAACCAAAAAGTCAGTTTTTGCAGAAGAAAAACGTAGCATGTGTTAACGAACATACAACGTTTTTCTGCTAATAGATATTGTGTAATTGTACACAATATTCCTTGTAACGTTTTTAACTTAGGAAAATACGAGCCTTATTAAAGGATCCCGAAATTACAATTAATTTAAAATATAAAAACTGAAAAATAAACAAAAATTTATTCTCATTTAAACTTACATAGTAGATAAATAAAATCAGATTAAGTTGTATGTGCAGGAAATTCACAATAAAATTATCTATACTATTCTTCTAAAAATTCAGTCATTTTCAGCAAGTCTGCTTTTTTCTTATCAGAAATAGTTAAAGGTTCTCTGTACAGTGTGGCATGTCTTCTGATTCGATAAGCTCGTAAACTGTATTTCGAACTGCAGATCGTCCCCTTGGTCTCTTGAGTAAAAGTAATGTCTGCCATGGATACATTATGTGTTTGTCTTATCCGCAGAACAGTCGGTTCGTTTGCTGTGACCTGTATCTAACGTGCTTCTGTTATGCAACTGTTATCCACTAGAGATACCAGCTGAAGTCCGTTTGAAGATGCCTACTCTCCGGAGGCTGGTACTCACATAACGCATGGGTGTATGTTACCTGAAGTAAAATATAATTAAATAATAAACATGAATTATTATTAACAACAATATGTACAATCTTTGGTAACCTTATTTATTATAAACGGTTTTTACCCTAATATTTTGGTAGCTCAGGCATGTTAACCTGCATTTTTAACCCGATGATAGAATTATTACTTCAAAAACGTTCGTGTTAATTTGATGTAGCCCTTTTAAGGGTTTTTGAAATATACCCACTTACAAAGGTTTAACCTCTTTTTTTATTTTAAAGTAACGAGAATTACCCATTTCCTTTCTAATCGTTGGATTAACAATAATTCCTTAATATCCCGGCATACAGTAATTACCCATTCGCCTGATATTCCCCTTGTCCAATTTCCCGCACCTAATCTGAATTATTCCTTTCAAACGCAGAAAGATACCGAAACAGAACAATGGCCCGTGCCTTTCGGCATCCCTTCGGGTCAGCATGGGGCGAAAGGGCATCTCCCTGACATTCATATCCGATGATTGGTGCCGCATCGTTTTGTGATAAACTATTGATGATTAAGACTTGTAGAGACAGAGGTGGCGAGGGTTGAATTAGCAATGGGGTCTGATAAAAGTGGAAGAAAGTATTTAAAATATATTTTACGAATTTAAAGCTGTATTAGATTATCACTAGATACTCGACAGCCAGTGTCCACAAGCAGAATGTTATAGAATGAAAAAAAAAAGAAATCTAAATATTATATTATGCAGACGAACTCTAAAATCAAAATTGATGGGAAAATAATAAAACAGGAAGAAGGATTTAGATATTTGAAAATAGATATAACTAGTTACGAAGATGTTGAAGAAGAAATAAGAAACAAAGCTTAAAATCGAGTAAAGTGGCAAGATCTCTTAAAGACACAATCTAGAAGAATAATCACCTAAGGCAAGACAGAAAAACAAGTATCTATAAACCAGCAATAAGACCTATATTAACAGACACGGTAAAGACAAGACCTGACATATCTAAAACAAGACGACGAAAACAAGAACCGAGAAAGCCGTCAGACCATTTTTATGGTCCCTGTGGAAAAAGGGGAGACGGAAATGGACGGGGACAAGAGACTACTAGCAATTCTGTCTAAATTAAGGGAAGACATAGAGACTGTAGGAACCAGAGAGCCATCTCTAAAAGTAGAGGGGGGCTACAGAGGTAGGAACCTTAGGAAGCTTCTTGAAGTCACCTTTAGAGGTATGGATCTCAACCTCGTGTTGGAGGAGTATGAACAAGAAGAAATTAGAGCAGGGACGCAGATGGTTATCGTAAAAGGAGGCGGAAAATCTTATGCCAAGTTGCTGAAACAAATAAAGGATAGCGTAGACACAAAGAAGAAGGAGATTAATGTCATAAGCGCTAAAAAGTTCAGGGGCAAAGATCTCATCCTTGAAGTAGCAGGGAAAGAACTGGCAGAGCGCCTAAGGAAGACTATTTTGGCCCGTACGGAGGAAAACACGGTAGAAGATGTCCGCGGTTACCAGGTTCAGGTTGACATATTCGATATAGATGGAGATGTCACAAAGGAAGAAATTCTGAGGTAGGACCGGAGATATACTGGCAGCAGGGGGCCTAATGACGTCAAACTCGTCTCTATAAGGAAAAATAGAGACGGGAACACAAACGTCACGGTCGGACTAACGCGAATCGCAGCCAAGAAAGCATTGGAGTAAGAGCACATACCCATTGGCTGGAACTCGTGCAAGATACGAGAGAAATTACATATCCAGCGATGCTTTAAATGCTTGCAGTTCAGGCATAGCAAAAACGAATGCAAGAGAGAAAACAGAGCGGACTGCTGCTATAGATGTGGCAAAGAGGGTCATCAGGCACGAGAATATAGTAATTTGGAGGCTTTTTGCTTCACTTGTAAAGAAGCCGGGCACAAAGCCGACACCTTACGATGCCCGGAGTATAGAAAACTGATATTGGAAAAACGAAAGCCCAAGAGAGACCATATCAGAGGGGAGGAGGAAAGAGTGGGTGAAAGCACTTAGGACCAGGAATTACACAGCGTACGGGTAAGTGAGTTTAAAAGATAAGACCCATTTATTACAAAGTTTCTACAAATAAATGTGGGAAGGTCGAGGGCTGCTCACGATGTTGCAGAGGCACTTATATGTCGGAAACCTCGTAGTATGGAATTGCTATGTTTTACCAAATATCCTGCTTCGAGTATATAAAGAGTACATTGACTTGATTAGGAATCTAATATTGAAAACACTTTAAAACCTACATACAAAAAGAAAAAAAGAAGAAGGGTTTTTTAAAGTTTAAAAGAGGAAGAGTTTTTAATTATCTTACTTTATTGGAGTAAGCTAGTTAACCAGAATCTATTTCAAAAACTTGCTGTTAACGTCACTACAATAAAGTACAATAACCAAAATGTTTTGATTTCTAAAATAATAAAATTATATACTACTACAGTGTATATTAAAATACTTTCAATAAACTAGTTAATAAGTAGGATTTGAATATATAACATACACCCTCTTCCCAACTGTGTACGAGTCGCAAATGAACGCTAAAATGTGGAGCAATGAGATCCCACGATTTGGTTCGTATTGTGGTTATATTTCACAAAAGGGATGGGTTGGGCCGCGGTTTTCGAAGGAACTTGACTAGCTTTTACCATAGTACCTCTTATTGGGCCTTGATTAGAATATATGTACAAAGGGAAGCATCGGATACTTTCTCCGAAATTCGATTAATTAGAAAATGAATCGATTTGGGGTTTACAAAGCAAACAGATTTTGGCATTGTAGTGATGGTTTCATTAAATTAAAAATAAACGTAAAAAGTAAGTATTGAATATTACTAATGACGAATTACGAATAAGTATTTCTTTGGTAAAAAAAAACTATCTAATTTTTTGTTAAGAATTTCTGTTATTACAAGTTACTAGAACTGGTTCGCTTCTTTATCTGCTATACAGCTGCGTCTTCCCTATATTAAGACATAATACTGCAACGAAAATTAGGCTTATGGTTTGAATTATTTACACTTATTTAATTATAAGACATATTGGTATGGCAAACAATACCAGAAGAAGAAGAAGAAGAAGAAGAAGATATAGCTTAGTAATAATGGTAAACGGTGGATTATCCCTCTGAAACTCATTTAGGTCATTCATTTGGTCGTTTTCTGTATATATGTTGCATAGTTACAATACTTTTACTACCTTTGGGAATTATGCTATAATTTAAACACTGGGAACCCATATCTAAAAAGCAATAAACAAACTGCAATGAGCAGTTACCAAAATACATTCTTAAATTGAAAATAAGGCTAAATGAAATCAATATGTTTACTTCATCTAATAAAAAGTACATATTTTATCATTTAAAATTAATAATAACTAAGTGGTATATAAAATAGAGCAAAATATTTAGGTATATAATTAAATAATTTAGAAATTTCAGAATAAAGTACTGAGAAACATCTATACGATATCGTATATTAATTCACTTCATAGTCATATTGAATTTACAATAGAAACAGAACAAAATCAATCCATAAATTTTTTAGATTTAAAAATTAGCGGACTTCAAAACAAACATGACTTCTCCATATTTCATAAACCTACCCATACTGACACGACTATACACAATTCATCATCCCATCCAACACAACATAAACTGGCAGCTTATCATAGTATGTTACATAGATTAACAGAAATTCCGATGTCAAAATACAACTTTGAGACAGAATTAAATATAATTAAGCAAATAGCAGTAAACAACGGATACAACGAACAAACAATTAATAAAATGTTAAACCAAAAAGTACACATAAAAGCCCTGAAATTAGTATTTACACCACCAGACAAAAACCCAGTACCTCCTGCTCGATTACATATACAGGCAAAATAACAACAAAAATTGCCAAACACATAAAAAAGAAAGGAATAACACCAGCTTTCCAAACAAATAACAACCTAGGAAAATATATTAAAAATAACAAGAGCCAAAAAAAAACACTTAAATAATGGTATGTACAAACTTCAATGTGGCGATGGCCCAAAAACTTACATCGGTTAAACTGGTAGAAACTTCAATAAACGAATAGCAGAACATAAAAGGGCTTTCAATAATAGAAAAACAGATTCGACATACGCACTTCACCTTCTAGATCATAATCATTCTTTTAATGACAAATTTAAAATTCTTCACATTCAAAATAAAGGCTTTAAGCTATCTTTGTTAGAATCTATGGAAATCAACAAATTAAAAAACACAGACATAATTCTGAATGACCAACTGGAGACAAACACTTATCCCCTCCTACATCTATTTCATTAGAGACTATAAATTTGTAAACCCAAACCAAAAATAGATCAATTAAGAAAGGCAATCAGCCGAAACAGCTGTAGTGATAAGAGTTAAAATAAATTAAATTTTGTGGAAGTTTGAAAACAAAGTTTTCAGTGTTTTATTGTTACATAAAATGAATTTCCATCAACTAACGGTCGAATCCATCAATTATATTTCTACATGTTTTCCTGCCTTTAGTTTTTCCTCTCTATTGTCTCCTGACCTTTGGAGGTCTTCTTTAACTTCTTGCAGCCACTTTGATATTGTTCTTCCACTTCTCTATCTTCCTTTTGGATTCCATTCTATCATTGCGTACATCACTGCCTTATCTTCTGCTCACCAAATGTGACCTAACCATCTAACTCTGCAGGGCTTAATTTTAGTTACGATGTCTTCCTTAAGTTCCTCCTTAATCTGTGCATTTGTGCTGCTTCTATATTTATTTTACTTCGTTCTGATTGGTTCCAGTATGGTTCTCGCAATCTTTCTCTTCGCTATTCTTAAGTCTTCTTTATCTTTTTTGACCATCGCCATTGTTTCTCCTGCGTATAATAATTAATACTGGCCCAATTATGATGGTATAGATGTTTATCTTAGTTTTCTTAGTCAATGTTTTGCTTTTAAGTAATCTTTTGTTGATAACCTCGTTTTTATTATTGATGTCTATATTTTAAACATTGTATTTAGTATCGTGATTCCCATATAGTTTTTACAAATTTGTTGGTCTCCCTATTTATGTATTGTTATGATCTGCCCTACCTACCAGTCCCCTGTCATTTTAGTAGGACTGAGAAGCATTATTACATAAAAACGCGATCGCCATAAGGACCTTATAAGAAAAGTGACTAGAATTAATAAAATTTCGAGAAGGTATCAAAAGATAATCCATATCAATGTTAAGTCAATCTAGCTTAACGATAATGAAAAAGACTTAAGAAAATTAAGCCCTTCATACTGGTTTAATTTTTAATGTAAAATCGGAGAATAAAAGTTGTTTGTGACACATATCAACATTATTGTATTATTTGTTAGATTATTTTAGATAATGCCATATGGCAAGTTTATAATTTTGAATGTCCTAGTAATTTAAGCTTGATTGAAATTGTTTATTGGTCATTGATCAGCGAAATAATAATCTTTCTTTTTATTTTCCTTTTTACTCTTTGAGTTACTTTATGAAAGGCACTCTCCATTTATTTATTGTAACTATATTAGTTGACCTTTTGGCCTATTCTCGGTAACTCAATCGTTGTAAATTACTGTATAACCATATTAATATTTCTATTTTGTTTCAGTGTTGGCTGGAGTAGGAGTGGATTTAGCATTTCATCGCCATCGAACTGGATATTATTTAATGTAAGTACTTTAATATACTAATTTTTGTACCTTAAATTTTAATGCTGCAATTTTGTTAATGGTTTTCTGTTTCGATCTAAGTATTTGTCCGGCGACTGCATTTTTCAAGTTTAAAAAATAAAAGTAGTCACACGGGGCCAAATCTAGATAATATGGTGGATGGAGCAACAGTTTGTAGCCTAATTTGACTAATTCCGATATCGCGACGATGGAGATATAAGCGGGTCCGTTGTCATGGTGGAAGCGCACTTTTTTCTTCGCTAAATGAAGTAATTAGAACTTTAATGGGAGGTCTCACCACTGAATAAATGACCATGTTACCCTTGGAAATAATGGATATTTTTCCAATGGCTGTAAAGCAGAACTTTATATCCTATGCATACTAATATACAAAACTACAGCAAAATATTCGAACGGAATTAGAATATTTATCGCATGAGATTCGTTGTCAAGACAGTCTGTAATAAGCGACGCAGATCGATTGATCCTAATTGAAAACGTCAAGTAATTGGAGCTTTAATGGGACGTTCTACTACTGATCAATTAAACATATTATCCTTGGAAAACATCTTTTCCAATTATTGTAAATCAGAACTTTATTACTTATGCATACAAACAGCCAACACGAAATTACATCCAGTCTAGTCTGGCATAACATCTAAGTGGAACAAAACATTCGAACGGAATTAGCATATCACATGAGCTTCGTTGTCAAAACTACCTGTAATAAGTAACGCAGATCGATGGATCGTAATTGAAAACGTCATGTCGATGGTGTATAATAACCCGGAAGCCGAGAATATACGCGATGTGTTGTGCATGGCGCGCCTGCACTGATTATTATCTAAATTGAGAGGGTACAGGCTCGATATTGAATCCGCATTTGCGGAAAATCTCGCACGGCTCGATTTGATGACTACAGGGTAGGCTTAAGAACTACAGTATTTTATTTTATTAAATATAAATAGTTTTAGAGTTTAGTTTTAGAGTCTTAGATGAAGCATCCGCAGACTCTTAAGAGACCACAATGTAGTAGAAATTCTTCCACGTTTATAATTCGCACCCTCAGTGCAAGACTGCAGTAAGTCAGAATAAGTAAGTTTCGAGATAAAGACGATTTTGTTTATTTTCTTGCTAATATTTTTGAAATAAGAGACAAGTTTGAAGAAAAATTAACATTTAATTATGATTTTGCATGCTTTTCAGCCTATGTAACATTAACCAAAAATAGAAATTTAAATAAAATAATATTAATGCTAAAAAAATAGGAATTTCAAAGTTATAACACTTTTGCACGGAGAAAATTGTTAATCACTACACATTTAATT